GAGGGAACTTATTCAAAATAGTGATAATATGGTTTTGGATGAAGCTGTGGCCCCGCTAATTGAACCACGAATTCGTGCACAACGAACCTGTAGTATATGTAGATCACTAGCGCATACTGCTCCTAGGTGCCCAGATCGAGAATAAGAAAGATAGTATAGTTTATATAAATAAATATTAAGTGTTTAAAGTTCTATGGTTTTTAAAAGTTGGATGGTGGGGTAAAAAATCCGGACTGCGTATAAATCCGGACTCCTTATGAAGTACGTTAATCGATATTTTCGGAACGGAATCGGCCGTAGAAATAGATTGATCGCCAGCGGGGCCGGATAAGAGCGGGGATTGTTCTGCATCCTGCTGACTCCCCTGTTCCAGGGCAGGTACGAGTAGTGGAGAGCCGACGCGTTGAGGGGAGAGAGGGAGAAAAAAAGGAAAATCAAAACAAAAGCTATGACTTTGACGCGTCGAGGGAAAATGAGACAACCCACATGCGCATGTGCAAAGCCTCAACCACATAAGAATTAGAGCTGCACACAATCATACCCCAATTCACATGGCAAGTAAAATAAGAAGTTTGGAAATATTTTCTGTGTGTCATTGGCCGAAATCTGGTATAATACACAAGCCCCATCCATCCAGTACACCCCCATCGCATCGCTGCCCAATATTCGCCTCCCGTCCGGCCCTACTTTCCGTCTATTCGCTGTCAAGGTTGTGTACAGCAAAAAGCCGTCAACAATAGAGAAGAGAAAGAAGCAGAACCCCTAGCATCCTCCCATCATCAATACTAAAGCGAAGCTATTCCCTAATAGGAGATCAAACAAAAATCCGTTAAAACAACACGCGTGATATCCCCATCACGTCGCGCATACCCATCCCAGAAACGCCATATGAACAACCCAACCGTGACAAAAAGGGAATCCGTGAAAAACACAAGTCATCAATAAACTCATGCCTTCTTGGGTGTTGCCTTCTTTGGGGTAGCCTTTTTAGGTGCAGCAGCTTTCTTAGCTGGGGCGGCCTTCTTTGCTGTTGGTGACTTGGTCTTGGTCACGCGTCCAGACTTGGTTTTGCTGGTGACAGCAGATTTCTCCTCAGTGGCGGGTGACTGTACATGTTAGATCAGTGTTGAGTTGGAGCGATAAATTTGACTTACTGCCTTGGCCTTGGCTGGTGCCTTCTTGACTGTTTCCTTCTTTGCGGCAGGCTTCTTTGGAGCAGCAGCTTTTGGAGCGGCCTCCTTCTTGGGAGCGGCGGCCTTCTTGGTGGTGGTAGCAGCAGCCTTCTTTGGTGCGGCAGCTTTCTTGGTGGCGGTCTCCTTCTTAGGAGCAGCCTCCTTCTTGGGTGCGGCCTTCTTAGCGGCAGGCTTCTTTTCAGTCTTTGCTGCAGCCTTTGGCTTAGCGGCCTTAGCAGCGGCTGGTTTTGGCTCCTTCTTTGCAAGCTTGGTTCCACCAGATGCACCTATAGAGTTGTGAGTATATTGAACGCGATCGGACAATGTTATTGTCAGACGTACCCTTGGGCTGGGCAAAGACGCCCTTCTTCACACCCTCGGCCAATGCTCTGTTGAACAAGGAGTCAAACATCTTTCCTTGAGCATTGACCTTGTTGTTGGCGGTAACATATTTCTTGAGGGCAATTCGGCTATGCGAAAGTCAGTACAATTATCCCCTACTAGCAAAAGACGCGTCGAGTCCGGCTGGATTGGAAGCGAGGCGAAGCTCGAGTATATGGAAGAGGAAGAGTCGTACCTTGAACCGTTGCGCTGAGTGAATTGTTAGTGAGGGTCTTTGTTATGTAGCGAGGGATATAACTTACATCCTTGAGGGTGACGATAGCATCAGTGATCATGTCTGTGATAAGCGCGTCAGAAAATACAGTTCGTTACAAGCCAAATACATGAGTAGCTGCACCAGCGTCGGGCGATTGACTTTGCCAATGCAAAATCGAAACGCGACGTGGTGTTGTGGAGGAAGAAGCTCACCTTGGTATGAGGCATGGTCGGAGGCGGCCTTGGCCTTTGGTGCAGCAGCAGCAGCCTTTGGTGGCATAGTGACGAGGGTTGGTGGTAGTAATTGAAGAGGGTGGATAGATGTTTGTAAAAGATATTGAATCAATCAATGACTGTGGGTGAGATGTGTGGGAGTGGATGGTTGTGGTGGTGAAAGTGGTCGGGTTGGGGGCAGCGGAACCTGGAAAGAAATGAAGTGGATGGGGGAGGGGCTTTATACTGCATTTTGGAGCCCCCGTCAAAGTTAATCACCACGCTAGGCTAGCCTCTTTAGTCTGGTTTTCAGGATGAGAGTCGATCGCTGATTGGCTTGATTTATCAAGAGGAATACTGACTTGTTCTGCGATGGTCTTGTTCTTCCTACATGCGAGGCATTATTGATCGCCCACATCTTGATTGTGCGACCCAAGCCGAACAATCAACCCACACCCAACCCCCTCGCGCTTCTCTTCTCCCACATTTTGGAGTTTTGGGTTGCCAGCGCACCAAATTTGTTGAAATCGTCGATGGTCTTTCACCTCGTCCATCTAGTTTCCACAGTCAGTCAATATAATATGCCAATATCATGAACTTCATGAGGACCCTCGAGAACCGTCGCGTCGCTCAAAAAGTCCGGTCGAAAAGAGTGATGAAATGCGCCGGCGTTGATATTGAACCTCCACGCTTCGAATTTCCTCACAATCTTCTGCCCAGCGAAAAGAGAATCGTCAAAAATGGTTTCTGTTGCTTCAAAATTCCCAATTTCAAAGTGTGGTGGCCATAGATGCCACGTCAATGCTCAACGCGTTTGATCGCGATTTTGAAGCTATCCCCGAATTTGCGACCGCAAGAATCAACCAGCAAGACCCACCACCACAACACGATTAATCTCTATTTAGAGTATGCAATATTTCTTTGGATCATCCTGCTTCACGTACGTCCTATCCATTTTTCTAATTTCCATCTGTGTGGTATTTTCTACGGCTCAAGAGAAAAGTGCCATCGGGAGAAGTTGGATTGCGACCGGAGCAAAGGGATTGCATCTACACCGCAACATTTGGTTCTCCACCTTCAATCTCTTTGCTCAAGATGTCAAATTGTTTTTATATTACGAGTTAGCATTGCCTCCGCATCACTTTCTCTTTTTTAAATTCTGTTTTGAGCACTTTCGAAACCTCCTAGTTATTCATGTTGTTGGGGTTGGGCTCAGGCTCGTCTTGCGACACCACCCCACAGTTGCAAGATTCGTTGGCCGCCACGTTGGCCTTCTCTATCCTATCCTTCAAAAATGGCTCGGAGAACCAAGATTCCAATCTCTTGACCTCCGAGCAAGTCAAGAACAATAGCGGATTGGAATCGATGGATTGCGAGAACTGCAACGGCGCGATCTCATGGGGAGGGAGCCCGAGGGGGCAGAAATTACCCTCCTCGACACCCAAGTTTCATCACGCCATCCAACACGAATACTATCTTCAAAAAAACGCCCTCATTTCCGCATTTCTCTCTTCTATTTCTCTTTCTTCTTCGCGGCTCCTATCCAGAATTTGCGAGGATTGCAACGATACCTCCACAACTAAGATGCAATCCGAAACACGAGTGCAACCGGAAGATTACGCAGCCAGCCGTTGAGCCTGAACACCATTGTTCATGCATCTACTTGCCTCTATCTTGATGCGCTTCCATTCTTCTATTTTCGGCTCCAGTTTACACAAATTCTTTTCTGATGGTCTTCAAAGACTATGTTGTGTGGCGATGGAATGTGGCATTGCAGCCTGCGATCAAAATGAATCGGTCACGATCCCCTCTTCCATTGTCGTTCCTAATGCCAGTGCCATCCGAACCTATACATCGATCTATTGACAGCTCCAATTTCGTCGCAATCAATCTTTTCTCGCGACGGAATTCCAAATTTGACAATTGCATCCATACCGGCAAGTCCGCATAATCGATCGTATGGGTGGCGTGTCATGATTGAATTTTGTGTCACCAGACCAGACTTGGATTTCAGTTTGTGACTAATTACCGCAGCAAACATTCTTCTATTCCGATATGACTCCCTTCATCAATGTCAGTCTACGGTGCCAAAGTCACACAGTTCGGTACATTGAACATTCACGGTTTCCACTCTCTTCACGGAATCACGCTACGACCTACTCTTGCTATGGTTTGAAAGACAGCGATACGGCCCATCCGAGAGCAAGGCATTCCTGAAAACGTTCACCTGAATCCTCAGACAATCCCCTCGAAGCACTCGAGGGACACGCCTTTGTCGGGTGATTGGAAGCGCTTTACAATTCATCTTTGAGGGCGACGCTAGCCAGCAAAACAAGCTGCATGCGACATCTCTCGGCCGGAACTCGAAATCTCATCAGCCAAAACCCTCTAGCTATTAGTTCACTCCATTTCCGAGCTTACCACACGACTATCCTGTTTCTCTTCCAACTCCTCAGATCTCAATACACACCTTCTGCATTCATTGCGTAACCACGGCCCCGCAGCAAGAACACCAAAACTCGTTCCTCATCCCCTTCCATAACGTCGAGAACTGGTAAGTATCATCTGCAAGAGTTGAATGTAATGAATCTACTCCACATGTCAATATATCTGATAATTTCCAATCCGAAGAAAAACTGCCAACTCATCGCTCTGATCATGCAGTGCGCCAAGCGAGGCTTTGAAACTTTAGTAAGAGGATTCCAAGTCCATAGCGAGGTTACTTTCTTTCCTTTCAAGGGACTTTTGACATTCATGAAGTAGGCTGTGCGACTTAGTTGGGATAGTGCTTACAACAGATAAGTATATGTTGGATGGCTGAGTGAATACCGAAATTGTGAAATCGCAGGCGATTTTTTCCCTCGCTCGGCTGGCGGAGAGGGGGGAGCGAGGTGAGGTCTTGGCATAAGCGTGACCATTTTGCGCCACCCCGCTAAAGCTCAGCGCCACACATGAAACATATTACCATTTAGGTGCAACGAGATGAGATGGGATACTCCGTGGATGAAAACGATAAGATTTACGTCCTGGAAGAGAAGGAAACACGCATGGATAGCTTAATTTTAGGATCGTCTACTTAGAAATTTACAACTGTCCTGATATTTCTGAACAACCGACGAATCAATTGAAATATCTAAGATGGGATTTATACTAATCGCCTCGATTGCCCTAATAGGAATTTGCAATAACGCGATATAACTCCCTCAAGGATCTTTTTCATCCACATGCTAGTTGATGACATTCTCTCAACCCCGTTCGCTAGCTGGATATGCTCTCTACATTTACTTTCCCGCAAACAAAAAAGCAGTTTACACTTTTCATCTCCCAACAAAGTAATCCACCCCCAAAAACCAAATCCCCTTACCAGATTCTTCCCCTAAAACCCATGCATCGCCCATCCTCCACGTAGAAATCCTTCTCACCTAGATGTGCGAGTGCTTCATCCCCTCCATGTCAATACACACGTGTACATCAACAAGAAAGGCGCGCGCGTAAAGCTCGTACCCCATCGCCGCTTTACCACCATTCGGACTTCACCACCGAGCGAGCAATCAGGAACGTCGGATCTCGAAGAACTCGGAAATCGGGATCTGAGGTGGGTGAGCGCTAGAGATACGTAGCTGTGCCCCCATCTCACGTCTTACTATCTTTTCTTCTTTTTGTTTTCCGGATTTATCTTAAGAGATAGATTTGGTGTGGATTGGATCTACCCATGTGAAATCTGTTCTTTTGAGTGATCGGTTGGATTGGATTCATGCTTAGTTTTGTCGTTTCGGATATTTTTAATCCCTGGGCTCTTGAGGGAGAGAGCTAAGAGCTGATAGCTGAGGGTTCCCTCTGGTTTAAAGGTCGAGGATTCACGTACCTATCTATCGAAGGGAGCACGGTTCAGACAGCGAGACGCGATTGATCATTCATTTGATTAATCAGTCGATTGAGAATCCGCAATACCTCCCTTTGTCTGGTATCCTCACTCCAGTCGCTGCCTCCGCCAACACACCTACACCCACCAACCACCAACACAGCCCGCTCATCCACCTCACCCAAAATGTCCCCCTCACCATCCTGGCCCTACCACCTCGTCGACCTCACCGGACACGAAAAACACCTCCGTCGCAAAACTTTGGATCGTTATGGCATCTACGCACAGCTCTCCATCCTCATCCCCGTCCTCCCGTTTCTGCTCTACCGTCTCGGTTCCTATCTCCTCAGCAAACTCGGCAAGGGGAGGGAACGGGAGTATGATGTCCTTCCGAGTAGTCCGCAGAGGAAGGCGGGACGGGGGAGGAACCAGGGACGAGTTGGGACTTTTGTGAGGAGGGTGGAATGGTGGTTAGATGGGGAGGTTGGGGGGTGGGGGAAGAGGAGGTTTTGGGTTGTGNTTCCGAGTAGTCCGCAGAGGAAGGCGGGACGGGGGAGGAACCAGGGACGAGTTGGGACTTTTGTGAGGAGGGTGGAATGGTGGTTAGATGGGGAGGTTGGGGGGTGGGGGAAGAGGAGGTTTTGGGTTGTGGGGGGCCTTTGGGGGGTTTGGATGGGGGGGCTTTGTGTGTGGGAGACGGGAGATGGTGAGTGTTTATTTCTTTCTGTTGGTGTTTGTTGAGGAGTTATTTTGGGTTCTTGCGTCTTTTTGGGATGTGGAGGTTCCTCTATCTTGAAGGGGAGAGCTGAGATGAGTTTTGATTTTGAGCTGAGGATTCGTGTTGGCGAGACAAGGTCTTTTTAACACGATTTCTCACTCTCCCATCTCATTTTATATCCTTTTGCGGTTTTCTCTGGGAACTTGACGCTTATATTTCTTATTCATTTATACTTTTGAAGGAGGAATGAACCTTGGAAGCGGTGGGTTTTATTCTAATCTACTGTCACGTGATTAGGCACCCCTCTGCAGTCGGGTTCACTTCTCAGATATTCTCTTACAGTTAGGGATTTACGATAAGTGCTTGCCGAATGGTTCTTTCCGTCTCCACCCTGTTGTGCTTGGCCGTTGTTGTCATGTTGAGATGTAAGAATGGAGTGAGACGTACTCATAAGAAGTTTGAGTTTATGAGATTCTCAAAACTCATCATGAATTATGAGATTGCGACATGCAACAAAATTTGAAGAAGCGAACATATTTTATTTTGAAATGTTCATTATGATGGACATCACTTTCTACGATTCCTTCTCGCGCTGTTCAAAGATAACGTGGGGAAAATATGAAAGCTAACATAATAACTCAGATTACCTCCATATCACCAAACGCTTTGGTGTAATCGCCGCCTCGCAATTCCCCCTCCACTACATGCTCTCCATGAAATCAACCTACTCCCCGCTAGCCCTGATCTTCCGCGTCTCCCACGAGGAACTAAACCCCTACCACCGTCTCTCCGGGCGAATGATCTACCTCCTCCTCTGTCTCCACGCAACCTGGTACATGAACTTCTTCATCCAAGCGGGACTGCTCAAGAAACGGCTCGTTGCCCCAGTTGTAATAATAGGGATCTTAGTATTCCTCGCCCTTACTACCATCGTGACAACAGCACTGGCACCTGTAAGACGATGGTCTTACCGTGTGTTTTTCATTATCCATCTCATGCTGGGAATTACGATTTTACCCATGCTTTTCTTCCACGCCGCGCCGTTGAGGATATACATGATTGAGTCCCTCCTACTATTCGTTTTCGATATTGTTTGTCGGAAATTGGATACAGTGACGGGTTACGTGACTATCACACCAGTGCCGAATACAGATCTCCTCCAAGTCCGCATCCCCATCCCAGAATCGAAGTTAAAACGTTTCCACGCTGCCCCGGGTCAGCATGTATACCTCTCCATCCCGCCCTCATCAACACCAACTACGACAAGCACACCCTCAATCCACGGAGTTCTCTTCAACCCCTTCACCATCTCCTCCGTCTCCTCAAACGACATAACACTCGTCCTCCGCTCTCTAAACGGTCCCACAACAAACGCACTAAATACTCTAGCCAACATGCCAAAAGCCAAACCACCACTCAATATTGAAGGCCCACTCGGAAGTTCAAAATTCTTCCCGGATGATCTGGCAAAGAACTGTGATCGCATCCTCCTCATCGCCGGTGGCGTGGGCGCAACATTCATCTTACCACTCTACACCCACTTCCAAGAAGCCATGGAAAGCGTCGCCAAATCCCCCGATCGCGTCTCCCTCGTCTGGTCCATCAAGAACCCCTCCGAAGCAGCATGGGCCCGTGACGTCCTCCACGACGACGACGAGTCGGCGCAGGTGTATGTCACTGGCTCCTCTTCATCGTCATCTGAACAGACGGCCGTTCCTTCGTCGTCGAGACAGGATATTGAGTTGACGGATTTGAATCGCGATAAGGAGTCTGCGGAATTAAAGGTTCGAGGCGGCTATGCACGACCGGATTTCGAGAAGATTGTTAATGCGGTCTTTCGCTTGGGGGGTGAGGAGAGGGTTGCGGTGTTGGTTTGTGGACCGGAGGAGATGGCGAGGGATGTTAGGAGGGTTGTGGGCAGGTGGGTGGAGAGGGGGAGGGATGTTTGGTGGCATGATGAGGGGTTTGGGTGGTGATGGGTTTGTGTTTTTTTGTATTTGGGGATTGCGAAAAAGAGGGGAGGTGTTTTGGAGAATAGGATATGGATAAATTATTGACTTCTTTTACTTTGCTTTGTGATCTTGCTCTGTGATCTTACTGGTGCTTGATATAGGTACTTTAACATGTATCTGCATTTCTCCTGCCGAACCATTGGAACTATGGTGTCAGTTGATATAAATCTAGTACGTCGAGGAGAGATACAGATATATCCACTGTGACCTGCCTGGCGTGTTTGTCTTCGATGCATATGTGGTCTTTCCGTCAAACCAACACCACCCCCCTCATACCCTAATACCTCCCCTCATCAACAATTCACAAATTCCCTTTCCCCCCATCCCCCTCCCTATCCCTAAACCCCACAAATTCCCTACCCAAACGTCCAACCCCAATCGACAGTACAATTCTTTTCGACAGTAACCACTCAACACACATCCCCTAAACCTCAAACTCGGAATCTAGCTCAGCAAAAGCCTCACCTTCCAATGTATAACAGGAATCTTGGTTCGTGGTACGTAGGTGTGTGCTGTATGCAAGGTTCTTGTCGAGACAAGCATGAGCTGATTGGACTGGTGTAGGAGGTACTAGTGTTCAAGGTTTCTTTTTTTTGGGGAGTTGGTTATATAGGGTATGGAAGGGGGAGGGGGGAGGAGGGGAAGCGTGTGAGTGTTTTTGTATGAAGAGAGGGGTGGTGTTATGAGTGGTACGTACCTGATCGCTTAAAAGATTTGACGTTCTTTGATTTATCATACTCCGATTTCGCTTTTTATCAGAGTGGACTTGCGTAGTAATCTTACAGTGAAGTTGTGTGTATCTGAAGCTGAGCTGATTACTTGAGTAGAATTCGAACCAAAGAAATTAAAAACTTCTTCGCACGTAGAGATGATAACACCAGGTGGCTCAGATCAAAGTATCAACAACAATAAACCAATAGGAAGCACACAAGGTCTAACAACCTCCCAACCATGCCTAAACACGAATCAATCCCCACAGCTCACACCATCACAATGCACATCTATCCGTAAAACAACATACCCCCATATTCATCCACTAACACGCATTCACACCCCCCTTCCCTCCCCACCCCCTTCGCCACACCACAATCTCGTCATCTCACAAAATAAACCCCCCCACAAACAGCAAACAAGTGATCTCCTTGGTGGCCCAACGGACTGATGTTTGCAGCCTAAAGAAAACAGTTTGGCTGTTTCTCACCTGGCGCTCCCTGTTACCGTGTTGTGTGGGAGTTGGATCTTTTGCTTTTTTGAGGGATGGATTTTTTCTCTTTTTCGGGGGAGGGAGGGGGGAGGG